ACTGATATACTGCCTTGGATTTTGCAAGTACAGACTGGCTGCATTGTCAATGACTAAATGAAACTTGGCCAGAGTCAACTTATCAACCAAACAGCACTAACGTCCACTTCACAGAATCAGAATCAGAATCACAGAGCTGTTGTGGTGCAAAAGCAGGCCATTCAGCCCATCATATCTGCACAGGATCTCTGAGCACTTTAAATTAGTGCCAATTTCTTGCTTCTTTACAGTAACCCTGCTCAAATTCTTTAACTGATCCCTTGCAAATATCAGAACAATTTCTCCATTTCCATATCTGAAATTTATCCCTGAGCAAAACACCTTGAATTGTAGATTTACCTAACCACATTACTGAAATATTGTTTCCTCTTGGGCTGTTACTAGACAGTCGCAATGAGAAGACATATAGCTTCATTGCCCAACTAATAGTAAGGTACAACATTTAACCAATGCCAGCAGCTCTCTTCAGGTCCAGGTTAGTTCAACACAGAAGCAGAAGGAATTGCACTGTAGCATCATTTCAAATATTCCCGTATTCAATTGGGTAAAGAAACACAGTCCAGGAATTCCCTCCTCCTTCCACAATGACTCACCTTACAATGATGTCTACATTCTTTAAAAAGATTAATAATAAGTACATTTCTTTTCATCAGAATTACACAAGTATGATTTAATGTTCCTGCGCAAAATATTACAGAATACTGTCCAAAGACCAGAGAAATCCATGAATAGATAGATTATTAGGCAATTTGAGAATGACGTGAACTAAACTTGATTTAAGTCATCTGGTAAAAACTCTAATAATTACTGCCTTCTTCAGTTTCAGAACAGGGTTTGGAATTTTGGGTAGCTAATTTGTGTGATCCTTTTGTTAAAATTGATAGCATATGGAAGATCTAGTCAAAGAATTTGCAGCTTCACGGCATCACCTGAATTTAATGCTATAGCAGACAACAACTGATCCTTATTTTAAAAAGTATGAACATAGCAAACTGGAAATAAATTACGTAATCACTGACAAATCTTGAAACCCACAAGTAAATACTTCTAAGTAATTGTCTCGTCAGGAGTGAGGCTTCAAAGTTCTCCTGCTCAATGATTGCTTTAAGATAATGCAAGTGGGATCAAACCAAACTTAGAATATTTCAAAAGAAGATCATTGGTGATTGTTTGTGGGTTGCTGGGTGGGTTGGGCTGAGGTGGGGGGGAGGGGGGGTGCTGGTGGGGGTAGGTGGTGGTCAGTGGTATTTGGTGAAAGTGGGGCAAGGCATAACTCAAACTTTTCACCTTCTGAAAACCAGGAGAGAGGGCAAGTGTCACTATTTGGATTTTATTCACTGACCACTTGAAACCAAGTAAATTAATTCCAAATTAAACATACGGCACCTCGTATTTAGATTAAGAACCATGCAGCTCTGCAAAAGAAAGCCGAAAGAAAAACATGGATTAAATTTAGACAGACAAACACATATTAAAAACAAACACAGACAAACACATATCGAAACTACATTGATGATTAGTTTCTCTTCCAGCTCCCTCGAGTTGGAAAAACCCTATCCTCTCTGCAGCTGGAGAGTGAAATTTATTACTTCCATCTTCTCCCAAAAAATGTAAATCCATAGGAACATCTATCTCTGGCTACAGCTTATTACATAGAATAAACAGGTTTAAGATGTGACAGAAAAACAAATCCAATAGGAACACATCCCATTTTAAAATCACTGCAGCTCCATTTCAGTCCCTCAATTTGATAATATTCTTACCCAGTAACTAATTGATAGACTACCCTTCTGAAAATTTGTTGCTGGATCATGGTAAGATTAGGAGAGATTGCATCAATCAATGCATTAGGATGGGAAAGAAAAACTATATCTCTAAACTCCCCAATTCTTTGAAGTGGGTACCTAAATTGAGAGAGGAGCAGACACAAAATAATGCATTAAAGGTTATTGGCACCCCAAATCTAAACACAAATGTGTCATAAACGATTGGAGTTAGGATTTGAAAAGTGCGTGGCAATATTTCGATCAAATTTTAAGCCTGTCTCTACGCTGAACTTGGGCAATAAAATTCTTAGTACTTACTTCCAGAGCAAAACCACAAAACAAAGCCCACAAGAGCAGCCAAATATTTAATGTTATATAGTTCTTATAACAGCAGAAAGTTTGATGTAAAATCAGATTCCTCAATACACTAGAATGTCATCTAAGCATCATAACAATAAATAAAAGCAATCAACCAAAGCTACAATGACATACAGACTTAAGTCTATATTTTCAAAACAAAAAGTTTACAATTATCAACTCAGCTTAATTATAGTGCCATGTTGCAACCAAAGTCATTAAACATTGTCTGCAGTACAAGAAAACAAGGGCCCTATGCTCAATCAGCTTCAACAGACTCTTTCTGTTCCCCGCTTGTGTAAAGATATACATCACTCCGTCTTTTTGTAATAATGTCCACTTATGTTCTGAAAAAAAAAAGTATTTCCAGTATCTACTTTCTCTAATCACATTCAAAAATAATAGGGCCGTGCTTTTAAAACATCGGTCTTGCCAAATTAAAACAAAAAAGATTTACCAAATTGTAATTATGCTGGCACTATTAAAACTCATGTGAAAATTGTCGCAGGCTTATGGTAGAGAAGGAGACCATTCACCGTGCTGAGTCCGTACCAGTTTTTTGCAAGAACAACTCAATGAGTCCCACCCCTCCACCCTTTCCCAGTTTTCTTTTATCTTTGGTAATTGTTTTCCCTGTAAGGGGAGGGTTTCATTGTAATTGTGCTGAGCTTCAGCATCTTGATAAACGATTTGTTGTACACAGTTTCTGATCAAAATCCAAGTTTGGAATGCAACCTTACGTTAATGACAAAGATCATTCCTACAATGCAGAAAGAAAGCTATAAGGGTTAGATTGTCTCATCCTGCTCCTAGAAGGAGAAAGGAGCAAGACAGAGAAAAAATACAGTTTCTTGGATGAGAATTTTTTGGACAGAAGCATTTGCCAATACGAATACTTCACACTGTTAGCACCTGACTGAGCAGACGTGTAGGCTGACAAACTCTAAGGACGTAAAGTGGTTGCATATTAGAAGAAAATGTTTATTTTTTATGCAATTCAAGTGGCCCAGCACTTCACCATTAAACTTCAATGGTAATTACAGCAATTTGTAAGTCCCATCAACTAAGTGCAGTCTAATTTTCTAAATTGTACGCCCAACCCAGTTTGCCCCAAACAGATTTTAAACATCCTCAAAGCAGTCATTTCATCTTCTCAGAACCAGTACCTTTTCCCGAGGTATAAATGGAATTACAGTGCTGTAGTAACCAAATTCAGGTGCAATTCAGTCCATAAAATAATTCATTTTTATGCAAGTAGATAATTTGTTACCAATGACAAAATAAACTGACGGCCGATTCCTCATACCCAATTGATCACCGTAAAGAACAAAATAAGCTCCTTCCTTACACAGTTCAAGTAAACGAGTGGAATTTGCCTCCAGTTACAATCGATGGAATGACAGCTACTGCTGCAGTAATGGTGGAGAGTTTCCTTTTACAAAAAAGTTGGGGTGGAATACCTTCCAGCTCCCACTCAAAACCCGCTGGCAGTGAGAGCTATTCAGATCGAATCACCAAGATCCTTTTTTTTCTCTTCCTTAGACCCTTGCAGTAGCTTTAGAAAACAGGGTGCCATTGAAAAACCGCTAACAGGGTCAGCTGCTGATGGAATGCTTTTTAGTATTCAGGTTACCCAGCCAAGCAGAACATCAAAAAAAAACTCCAGCTCTTCGCTATTCTCACAGGCTTAAGTTAATGCAGAGTTACCAAGACAATACTGTTCCTCTGCTGAATAACACATACACTCGAAACTGCTGAGCAAGTAAACACCTTATCCAAACTGCCTCCACTGGTTACTTACTTAAAAGAAGCAATTACTCCGTCATGGACTAACGATGTTGTCAAAAAAATAAGGTAATAAGTGCAAGTGTCTCAATTTGATTATACAAGTCTCCCCCATATTTTAACATGCACATACGTTTCATCCCTCATTCATGAAGAAAATGTCTTAAGTGACCATAAATTTCATCTTGCGGACTGGGGAAGAGCTCATTCAACAGTTGAGAAATCTAGAAAGGACAGATTACACTCCTGGAGTGCGATCAGTCCATTCTAGATTTCTCCTGGAGTGTAATCCGGTCTCAACATTGTTTTAAAAGAAAACAGGAATTGAGATTTGTGTTTTTTACCAATACGGGTACTTGATGTTCAGGATCGCAGTACTGGGAATACTCCGCTATGACACAGGAGTCAATTCAATACAATCACGATAATAACTGGTTATAGAAATAAATTGGGACTCGCCAAAACCTACAGTCCCACACGTAGTGTGTGGTCGACTCCATCAGAAACCATCCCTTCCCCGAGTCCCACAATCCAACTGAATAAATTTCGAATATCCCAGGGCTGTGAAGTAAACCTTTCGTCTTTATTACTGAGTGTCACACTCCTTCAATACAAAACAGCATTCCGGGACTGGCGATTTCTGCACAGTAGCGCTCGTCATTAGAATAAGCGAGAGATTCGAAAATAAAATGCATCGTGAATCAGAATAACTCTTTCGCATACCCGAACATATGTTTTTGCATTAGTATTCCTAACATCGTGAAGGGACGTGATTTCTGCAGCTTTTACACGGGAGATCACACAAACACCATCGAGGAGAAATCCGTCGGAAAGGGAACACGGTCAATTTCCATTTGGAATATCGTGGAAATTAGGAAAGCAATTTCAACGTGCATTTATTAAAAAAAGCCCCAGAGCGAAAAGAAGCAGCCGACATTACAAAAACAAATTATCACGGCATTAAATAAAAACCTCAAACGAGCCTGGGCGATGAAGCGAAATGTAAGAACCATATGCGTGTAGGAAGCATGGCGATGCTCCATAATATATAGTGCGTGAGAGTGTGCAAAATCCTAATTTCTTTCTCCTTACCACACAACTAGGTTGAGTTCTCCTTGTAGGAAGCGAGCCCCGCTGGATAAGCTGCCTTGGTTCAAAAGCAGAGAAAACGCAGGCTAAAACCAGACCCCATTCATGCAGTCACCGAGGAACGGGGGCAGCCTCAAATCAACCCGAAAGAACAGCTCGCCTTCATTTCCCGTCTCTCTCTGTCTCTCTCGGTTTTTCCTTCTCGCCTTGGAAGAATTGTCCAAGTTGTGGAAAGGCGGTGGCTTATTGTCTGCAGTAAGTCTCCTTCAGTGGTGGAAGGTGCAGCATGATGTCCTTAGGAGCTGCCATTGGGGATGGATGGAGCCTCTGGGCGTCTCGCTGCTTTACTCCAGCATCTTCGTGTCCTCATCCCTCTCACTCCATTCTTCGGCTGGCAGCTCCGCCTAGTTCAGCCTCTCACTCCCAGGCACTTTCCCTTCGAAAGGTTAGGCGGATAGAAAAGACTTTGCAGCCGCCGCCAGCAGTCTGTCTCTCACTTTCTTTTCCCACTGACTCTCTTCATTTAGTTAACCCTGTGCCGCAGCCCAGAGTCTTTTCTTTAGCTTCTTCTTCTTTTGTACCCAATTATTTCTCCTTTTTTATTGCCCACCCTTATTTATCTTCTTGTCTCAGAAACTCAGCAAGCCTCAACACAATTCTATAGACCCCTCTCTATGCTGCTACACACAGATGAGGGAGAACGTCCTTGTTACACAAAGCTCTACCAGTTCTTTTTTTTTCCCTTCGTCTCTCTGTTATCGTTTTTTTTCTTAACCAATGCTTTATCTCGTTTTCACCCCTCTCCCCCGATCCAAACTCCCATAGATATAGAATATATATATATATATACACAAGCACGCGAAGAACAAGCAAAATGTTTCCTTATAAACAGAGCTCCGCCAAATGGCAAACCAATTTAAACCCTGCTCTGGTGCTGCTTTCAAAAAATAAGGAGGGAGACAGTGTAAATCCTGGCAGTGGATCAGCCGAGCAGGTTGCATTTCGGAACGAGTACTGGCAAATACAGCACTCGATACAATCTATCATTCTGCTAATGTTTCCGGGTAGCCACTTGACTGTATGCATCCTTATGCCTAGTCTCTTCTCCTTAATAAACACACAGATGGGGAAATACTTTTGTTTTAAAAAGAAACAAAATGTTTTGAACCAAAACAGGCGATTCCGTTTTAGTTGCCACGCAGATTGTGTCACTTTTTTTGGGTAAATGTGAACACATCGTTATTCTTACATTTTGCAGGACTATAGAGGCGACGAAATTAGCAATTTTTTTGCATTAATCACGGGAAGGTTGCAAACATGCATGGCAGGTCGACAGTTCAGTCCCCGTCGCCATGGAAACGCAATCCCTCCACACGACAATCTAATTCTGAATTCCACTCGCTTGTTTCTTTTTTTTGGGGCGGGGGCTTTGAGGGGGGAGAAAGGGAGAGGAAGAAAACACCGTTTCACTAAAGTTCTCACAACTTTGTCAGAGAATTCAAATCTCCCCAAGATTTGGTAGGAATGCCAGAATTCATCACTGTTGCAACAAAAGATTGTCTAGTGGTTGCTAATGTGTTCGACATCCAAAATGCTCCAGACACACAAAGAAAATGATTTAAATTGCAAAAGTCCAAGCACACATGAACATTTAAGGAGCCAGCTCCATTCCAGCGGCTAATCCGGTGCCGTGTGGTGGAGTGTCCCTATACAATGGGAAAGTCAGTGAATGCATCTTTCTGAAATCCTATCCTGCACTCAACGACAACCAGAAGAGAAAAGAATATAAAATGAATAGGACGATCTGAAACTTTGTCCGGCGATTAAAAATGAGACGGTTTCGTTTTGAGTGAATTGGTGTCGCAGAATTTGGGGGGGGGGGGGGGGGGGGGGGAGGGGGGGTTTGTGGGTATTTGCCGGCCCCCCGGGGGTCGGGGCGGGAAACAAAGCGCCACTTCAGCTCGTGTGTTGTGTTCTTTT